ATTTGGAACATTCTAGAGCATTTTTGGGCCAAGATTGGATTGTGCAAGCATGGAGGCATGAGGATGGACGAATTTGAAGACAAAAGAGGCTATGAACATGCTAAAAATCTGGTGAAACAAATATAAGTTGCAAGAAGGGATAAATTTCTAGAAGGATTGACCAAAACTTCACTCAAAACCAAGAAATTCTTCAATGCCATGCGTGGGCATTGATTCACTTTCACCAGAAATTTGAGTGATGATGCAATGCTTAAATCACCATGACATGTGAGTGGATGATGCAATGCTTAACTCACCATGATATGTGAATGGATGACTCAATACCTAACCCACCAACAATTCCCACTCTTTGCCATGCTCACCTACTCAATTCCACCAAAATTTTGTGTTAAACAAGTCCATCCTTTTCCTATAAATACCATGGCAGCAACCTCATTCAAATCATCCAGAAATTAACCATTCTCCAAGCCTTCCCTTGCCTCTCCCTACATATCTAAACCTTCCCCATCCATTCCTCCATATAACCAACCATTCAACCACCATAACCACCTTGTGCCGCCACCATTGAAGGAGAGGAGGAGTAGTGCCGTGCTTATGCAATCTGCAACTATTAGAGTGTTTGGAATTCTTTCTTCTTTTAATTCTATGTTCATGTTTAATTTAACTTGTTGTTCAATTATGTTAAACATGTGGAACTAATTTCTTTTTGGCTAGAGGTTAATTCAAAGCCATGAATATATTTGTAATATGAATTGATTACCTTCAGTTGTGATTTCTGAGTTGTGATTTAATTTGCTTAACTGCTTGATTGATAACTTATTTTTGTATGTCGATTAAGAATGCATACTTAATTTACATGCATGAATTTGATGCTAGAATATAAGTGAATTTCACCTAATCGTTATGAACTTATATTCACAAGTAGTGAAGGTTGTTATCCACAATCGTGTTAAGTGAATTCTTGGCAAGAGTATCATGCGTATTCCATAGTTATGAATGCCTAGTCAATGTTTATGATTTCCGTTGAACTTAATGATCTTTGTTGAATGTCTCTATCATGCGTATTCCATAGTTAGGGACTTTGATGAGGAATAATTTGGTTGTAATGCATATTCCATTCAATCCAATGAATCTAGGGAAATCTAAGAGTTAATTTAAGCGGACCTAATTAACTTGGAACATTGAGATTTACAATTTATTGAAGGAACAACTGAAAATCAATTTAGGTTGCATATGTGTCATGTGTGGAGAAGAACCCTCTAGCTAGTCCGTCACTTATCCTTTCACCTTAATTTCATGCTTTTGTCAATTCTGTAATTTATTTAAGTTTAATTTATTTCTCGTCAAAACCAAACCCCCCCCCATTATTAAATTATATTATTTAGTTAGTTTTCATTGTTGTTAGTCTTTTAATTCAATTTCCGTCCATTTCAATTCCTAGTGTCTAATTTGATTGTTTTCATTATTTTGAGTCATTCTAAGTGTGTTTCGAGTTATTAGAGTTTTTAGCCTAGTTTTGTGTCCTTGAGTCTTGTTTAATATTTTTAAATTAATTTAGAATAGATTAGCAATCCCTCCTAATCCCCGGCCTAGAACGATACCCTACTTACATCTATACTACAATTGTCAAAAAGAGGGTTTAATTTGTGTGTCAAGTAATTCTCACATCAAAACTGACTTAAAAACGTAAAAACAAAGTTTAAAGCACTAAACTAGACTCAAAGAATGCAAAACTACAATTTAAAACACTAAAACAAACCAAAAACTCAAAACAGCAACTAAAAGACTCAAAACTGCCTTAAAAACACTTTCTCGGCAGTTTTGAACTCTAACACAAATCTGAACGAATTCGAGTTTTAACTTGAATCAAAACACTTAAAAACACAAACCAAAACACTTTCTAACTAATCTAGGACTTCAAAATAAAGGGGAGATTGGTTTTGACGAAATTGAAACAAAACACAAACTTTGTAATTAAAACAGATTGTAAAACAATTTGGGAGTCTAAATGGATGATTGATTAATTAGAGGCTCTTTCTCCACACATGACGTATATGCAAACGATTCAATTTCCAATTATTCCTTCATAGAATTATGAACGACATTGCCTCAAATTAACTGTGACATCACTAGCTAACTCTCAGATTTTCCTTGTATTATTGGATTGGATGGCATCATTCGACAACCCAAAGCATTCTTCAAAAGTCCCCTACATGACATCATAATAGAGATACGATCAAAGATCATTACGTTCAATGAAAACCATAAGCAATGACAAAGCACTTGCAACTATGACATCATGTCACTCATGCTAGGAATTGAACTTAACGCGATTGTGACTAGCAACCTTCACTACATATGAATATAAGTTTGTAACGATTATGTGAAACATCCTTATATTCTAGCATCATATTTATGCATGCCAATTAAGTGTCGACCCCTAATTAACAAACACAAATAAGTTATTAATCAAACAGTTAAGCCAATTGCATTCACGATTCAAGAATTCATAATTGGAATTTATCAAATCAAATTGCACACATAGTCATGGCTTTGAAATCACCCCTAACCAATAGGGGTTTAGCCACTCATGTTCATAGCAAAACGAAAGGGAAAGGAATTACACAATGAAATCATAAAACGAATTACACCTAGAATGCACCAACAATGAAGCTTGAACATCCAAGGATCCTTCCTTCTTATTTCTTGCTGCGGCACACAAGTGGGTGAGTGTATGGATTGGGTTTTGGAGGTTATGGATGGTGTAGAAGGGTGGAATGGTGTTTAGGATGGATGTATGGTGCGGCTAGGAGTGTTTTTGGGCAGAAACTATGGAGATTGGTGAAGGATGGGTGCGGCAAAGGTGGTGGATGATTTCTGACGTGAATGGGAGTGAATGGGGATGTTTTGTGGCTGCACAAGGATGTTTATTTAAAGGGATTTAGGAAATAAAACCCTAGGTTAATTAGGTAAACAGAAATTAAGTCTAAAGCTCTAGAATTAAGGAAACAAATCAGAAAACTAAGGGAAAATAGGCTAAAGGGTGCGGCAAGGCATTAAAACACAATAGGAATGTGTTTTTATTCAGAAAATAGGAAAGAATCACTCTCCCTTGCACGGCAAGGAAGAGGAAAGGTCAAGGGATGCGGCTGTGATGTAGGAAAGGTTTAGGGAAAGGTTTAAATGTCCTAAAACTGAAGGGAAAGGGTTCCCTTGCACGGCAAGGAAGATGGAATTGTGGAAAAGGCATGTGAGGTGCGGCATTGATGTAAACCATGCAAGAAATGTGTGCTTGATGTCCTAGAATACTTAGAAGACCTTCAAAGTTGATAACACTTAGGGACACTTAGGAAAGGTCAAACCAAAGTAGGAAACCTTGGCTTAACTTTCCTACTTCAAGTAGGAATCCTTGTTGGAATTGGAATCCTTGTTCTTCTAGGAATCCTCATGTGATTAGGAATCCATCTTCAATTAGGAATCCTTCGTTGATTAGGAAACCTAATTTCTTCAAGTCTTCAAATTCGTCCAAACCCTTGGCTCCAAATATGTGACATTCATTCCAAGCTCCATTTTGCTCCAAAAGGCTCCAAAATGAATCTTTTTATATGCTTTGCCCTTAAAACCTGAAAACACATAAAACTAGCTTAAAAGACTACTTTAACTAAGAAAACACCATGGAAATGCATAAGAACTAGCTAACTAAGGCGCATAAATATGCTCCTATCAAAGCTAAGATGGATTTTTCTTATGATAATGAGGGAGCATATGTAATCCGTTTTTCGCTCTTTTTTCATCTGCTCTATCAGATACAATGTTTGACAAAAAGAGTCCATTTAAATTAGAAAGAGTTGCATTAGGCATAATTGGACAAAGGAAAGCTCTTTATAGCCACAAAAAAGTAAAACTGCTTTATAATTGGACAAAGAAAGAGGAAGATAAGAAGAAACAAAGAAAAGGCCCTTAAAAATTTGGTAGAGACATTTTCAACAAGTGACATAAAAAAACAGAGCCAACCAAACAGAAACTCAATACCAATATGCAGCAAAAAGAAAATAATGCCTGAGTAAGAAAAAAAAAACAACAACAAAGCCTTTTCCCACTAAGTGGGGTCGGCTATATGAATCCTAGAACGTCATTGCGCTCGGTTTTGTGTCATGTCCTCCGTTAAATCCAAGTACTCTTAAGTCTTTTCTTAAGATCTCTTCCAAAGTTTTCCTAGGTCCTCCTCTACCCCTTCGGCCTTGAACCTCTGAGCAAGGAAAAAACAAAAAAAAAATTATAAACCTGAGCAGCGATGTAGAATTCATACAAATGCAATAATGTTTCCTTCAAATGAAAACCTGTAGGAAAATAAAAAACCAAATGAAATAGCATGGCAGAAAAATTGAGGGGGAAAATAAATTAAAAATAAATAAATAAATAAAAAACAAAGAGGACGAATGACGTTGTCCAATGTACTTAATTTCTCTAGAGTATAATGACAGCTTATTTATTTGTTGACCATATGAGATTAGTAGTTGATTTAATTAGTCCAGCCGCAAAAGAACCCAATTCAACGCTTAAGCCTAGCTTATCACTACATTGAAATGACAAAGAAAATGCATATTATATCCATCCTTTCAGTCATTCATTAGACAGATGTGTTTGAATGCCACTAATACCAATGATAAATTTCATTACTCTGCACATATAAATTGTTTAGCCAAAACAATTGTTCATAAAAAATTAAGCATCCAAGTGCATTAAATGAAGATATATCTATATCTAAAGAGGAAGGCTTATATATTATACCCATCTCGATATGGATTTGGGAAAAAAGAAATTTCAAAAGCTAATCATCAAATTTTTTTACTTCCTATGTTCTTGGGGATCATTACAATTTTTCTTGTCCTGAATTTGAACATACTTGAAACTGAATTTCAAAACTACAAACTTAAATCAACACTCTTAGTTTGAATCCAAAAATACTTAACAACTAAATAAAATCACACCTTAGGCTGCAAGCACAGGGGTCTTCGCAGGCTTCAAAGAAAAGTCACAAATTCGAAAAACCCTATCTCTTGGAACTGAAAACAAAACCAAATTAACCATCATCACCCATAATCCGAAGCTGCAAACAAAATCCCCTAAATCACAACCAAAAAATTTGAACAAAAAACCCATTTATCCAAATTTACACTCCCAAGCACATAACATTCAAACCAGAGAATTACCCATTTAGAAATCCTATCTCATATGTATTAAAATGATTAACAATTCTTAGTGAATCGTCATAAAATAGGTATAAAAAACTAATCATGTTTCTTAAATTTAAAAATGGGAAACTTAGAGAAAGAGTACTGAGTTTTCAGTTCTTACAACAACGAAAATAACCTTATCTTTTTATTTTGAACTGGGATTGATTTCTGTCATCAGCGTTAACAAAACATGTAATTTTAGCATGTACTAATTAAATTCAAGCTGACCAACAAAAAAAGCAATTACAATCAAACTAACCTTTTTTTTCCTCCGAGAAAGAGAGTGTAATCAAAAAGCAAGCCGGAAAAAAATAAACCAAAAAAAATATTACACATTACTAAATTTCTTGTTGGCGTTTATCAGAAATTTTTCACTAAAAATCAAATTCCAAAACAAACTTAAAAGCCAAAATTTGACAATAAATAAACCTCTTCAACAATTCGGATTAGCCATTGATAGGAGCATATTTATGCGACTTAGTTGGCTTGTTCTTAAGCATTTATGTTGTTTTTCTTTAGTTATTTTAGTGTTTAAAGTCATTTTCGTGCAATTTCAGGTTTAGAGACGAAGTATGCAAAGAAGTGCAAAATGGAGCATTTTAGAGCAAAATTGAGCTGGAATGGAGTGTATGCTAATGGAGCACAAGGAATGGACGAGTTTGAAGGTCAAAGGAGCTTAAGAAATGAAGAAATGAAAGTGAAGAACAAAGAATTCAGATTTGGAAACCAAAGTTTCTAAAGTTAGGAAGTTTCTATTCTTGGAGGTTTCCATTTTCGAGAGTTTCTATTCTTGGCTTTGGGCTTTTAGATGACCTAAACCCTAATTCCTTGTGGACCCTAACCCAAGCCGCACCTAGGCCTCTAGAATATCTGATTTCCTTGCCTTGCAAAGCATTCTAGAAGGCCCATCTCTAAACCCTAACCCTAGCCGCACCTTAGGCCTTATTCCCACTAAAAATCTGATTGTTTTAACCTAATTTCTGGTGGATTTGGGCTTCTAGAAACCCTAATCTGATTACCCTAGGGTTTTGGATGCCTATATATACTCATTATAACCCCTAGATCAGATATCATCTCCCATACACAATCATTCACGCCAGAAATCTGCCCTTGATTTCTGCCGCACCTTTCCATCACCAAAGTCCCAAAATTCTACCCAAAATCATCCCTAGCCGTACCCCCATCACCCTAAACCTTTCCATACCATTCCCCATCCATTCTACACCACAAATAACCCCAAAAACCTGTTCTAAAGTTCTCTGCCGCAGCAAGGAGGAAGGAGAATTCGTTGATGAGCTTGCTGCCAAGTTGGAGCGTTCTAGGTGTTTTCTTTCTTTGGATTTTAATTTCTAAATTTATGTATCTTTGCTTTGCGAGTATGAGGAACTAAACCCCCCTTGGCTAGGGGGGGATTCGAAACCATGTTTATGCTTGCTATATGATTTGATTACTTCTAATTGCGTTTCATAAGTTGTGAATTCAATTTACTTATCTACAAGAATTAAAACTGATTTGTGTATGTTGGTTGAGGGTCGACACTTAATTTGCATGCATGAATTTGATGCTAGGATATAAGGAAATTTCACCTAATCGTTATGGACTTATATTCATAAGTAGTAAAGGTTGATGATCTCAATCGCGTTAAGTAAATTCTTGGCATAAGTTTCATGCAATCATAGTAACAAGTGCTTCGTCAATGCTTATGGTTTTCATAGAACTTAATGATTCTTGCTTGTATCTCTATTATGCAATCATGTAGGGGACTTGTGGGGAATGCTTTGGGTTGTCGTATGCAATCATCCAATTCAATAACGTTAGGAAAATCTGAAGGTTAATTTAAGCGGACCTAATTAACTTGGGGCTTTGAGAATTCATGGGTTATTGAAAAGCAATTGGAAATCGTTTTGAATGCAAGTATAACATGTGTGGAGATGAACCCCTTAGCTAGCTTTCTATCCATTCAATTCAATCAAATTCGTTTTTACAATCTGTTCGTTTTACAAAGTTTTGTTTTGTTTTCAATTTCGTCCAAAATCAATCCCCCTTTTCTTTGTTGAGTCATATTAGTTAGAAGTCAAGTTAGTTTGTGTTTTTAAGTGTTTTGAGTCAAGTTGAAACCTAATTTCGTCCAAGTTTGTGTCTAGTGTTCAAAACTGCCCAGATTGTGTTTTTAAGGCAGTTTTGAGTGTTTTGGTGCTGTTTTGAGTCTTTTGGTTTGTTTTGGTATTTTAAAGTTTAGTTTTGCATTCTTTGAGTCTAGTTTAGTGTTTTAAACTTGTTTTTACGTATTTGAGTCAGTTTTCAAGTGATTTTGCAATCCCTCCTAATCCCCGGCCTAGAACGATCCCTACTTATATACTTACTACAATTGATAAAAAGAGGGTTAATTTGAGTGCTAGTTAATATTATATCAGCCATTACTCTGGCCAGAAGCCAAAATCTGTCTACAAAACCTCTACCTCAAGTGGGCAAACTCCCAAAATAATATGAAAATTACACAAATCCATACACCCTTCCAAAACCCTAGCAATCGATATAAATTTGACACCAAAAATAATTTCAGGGAAATTAATAGATAATTAAAAAAAGATGGAAACTTTACAAACGGCAACACAGATACAACCCCAACGACGTTGTAGATCCGCTGCGCTATTTGGCTGCAACGTCTTGCATCCATCCTGCAGAAAATAAATTGGAAAATATGTCAGGGCTGTGAATTTGATGCCCATGCTTGTTATCAAGTTGATATTGATGACTCTTACCACCGCAAATATGCATTCCAATTTTGCTGGGGTTGTGTAAACTATTTAATTCATCCTTCTGTTTTGCACTCCCTACTCTTTTGGTAGACTATCTCATCTACAAACAGGTGGTATAAGATAAACCTTTCATAAAAGAATTGAATTGGAGTTCATTACAGCTAATCAGAACTCCAAAATAAAATTGATTTGATCATTACAACTGAATTCTTTTAGTTTCTGAGCTTAGCCAAAACCCCAAATACAAAGTAGCTAAAAAACCCTCCAAAAACTTGCTCATAGATTCATCAAACCGCCGAAAAATAAAAAACCCAGAAGCTAAAAGCAATAACCCAAAACTCACAAAACTCAAAACGACGACTGAAGACGCCCAAAAAAACCAAATTGGAAAAGGATCGACGAAGAACTCACCGAAATCGAATCGAATGGAGAGAATGAACCATCAGGATATGACGAATGCGGCAAGCCAGGGGCTACTATGATTGAGTTTTGGGTTGTGGATTTCAGATTTCTCATCCGGGGAAAGGAGGAGGATTCTAGGTTGGGCCAGTTGGGGAAAGCAAGGAGCAGGGAGAAAAAGGAGGATGCAGAAAAAAGCAAAACGCTTTCTGGGGTTTGACGGAGTCTTATAGCTAGTTGGAGGAAGATTGAAGCGGTGGAAAGGAAACAACGAAACCGTGAGAAATGGAATGAAATTGTGAGAGCAAGATTGAAGCGGTGGAAAGGAGGATGAACAATGAGTCGAGAAGAGAGAGGGAAGAAGCAGCATACACGCGTCCCATTTTGCTCTCCGTTTGACAACAAAGCAAACTGACAGAAATTGAAATAACAGCAAAATAGTGGGGGTAAAATCAGAAATACACTGTGTTTAGTATTTCAGTTTATTTTCTCTTATACTATAATTTTCAATAATTCCTCAGACAATTTTATTATAATTAAAATCATAATAATATCCAAATAAATTATTAATCAATCATCTCAATCTTCTTTCAATCCAATGGCTCATAATTTTACTCATTCTACAGTCTCGATTGCTCGGATTGATAGTGTAAAATCAGGTCTAAACAACTATATATTCTCCTCCAATGACTCATGCTTATATTAATTTCTTGTTTATTTTTTCTTTTTTTTGTTTCCTTGTTTATCTAATATTCATTCCTAGTTTATTATTATGATATTCTAAGGGCATGCTTACTTATAAAGTATGGTAGCATTCACATTCTTGTATTTATTAACAACTAAAGAATGAAAAAATTAGTGCATTCGAGTATCTCATGCCTAAAAAAGTCAAGGCATGAGATTATTATAGAGAAGTCGTTTATCCTATACCCCATCATTAATATCCACATTCTTTTACAGTCTCATATTTTCTTATGGTAAACATACCGTAAATGTGGTTGTAGATTCTATAATAGATCTTCATCATCGTTATTTTTCTGTTATATAATAAACGTTGTTTTCAGTAGAGGTACACAATTGATTTGATCAATTAATTATGTTCAATTAGTACATCGACTGATGTGAGGTTAAAACATGAACCGTGTGAATCCAAAACTTGAGTCGAATGGACCACCTCAACAATTTCAAGTTCAAAGTGAACCAAGATAAAGGAAAATGGAAAATTCCAAGTCGAAAGGAGTGCCAACTAGCTAGCAACCCAATTAACTGCCCAAACTAAGTTGACCAAACCAACTCTGTTAAACATGATATGTTTCTGTACCATTACAACACCATAGAACTAACCTTGAGAAGTCATCTTCCTAGCACGGCAAGGACTGCAACTGCAGCAAGCTTTCCTCGAACACCCTAAACTTTAAAGGTTACTCTTCTGCACACTCACCACCACTGTATTACTCGAACCTATGGGGATTTTTACAAGTATGTGTATCGGTGGTGTATGCAGGAACCTTCCCTTGGTATTTATACTACTTCAACCCTAGCATACATTCCCATAATCATACGCTAGGATTCCTTATTGTACAAGGACATAATCTACCAAATCTCAATCCAAATAGGATAGTATCAAGAGCCCTTATTCTCCAATTATAACCGGGTTATATACCTTTACTTGGAGTCCAAGTTATAGCTTATAACTAAACCCTAATCACACTTACATTCCACATCAATCCTTATTAACTATATTAACCTATTAGTTGTTGGATTAGAGTCTAACGTCCAACTAGCTAGCAACCCAATTAGCTGCCCAAACTAAGTTGACCAAACCAACTCAACTCCAGTTTGACAACAACACTTCCCTAATTGCTTTTGTTTACCTTTTGTTTTAACTTTTTTATAAGTGAAAGGTAAGGGAGTGGCTGGGGAATGCCAACCTGCATTAGTAGTACTCTGATTAATGGACGTGTGGCAAGCAGATAGTGGTGTTGGTGCCTAAAAGAGGAAATATATTTGCTCACTACCCTTAAGTGATGGTGATGTGTTGGAAATGTGCCCTAAAACCAATCATATGATGATACTTTACGGACATTTCACATGTTAAACTAATCTAGTTTAATATCAAGGGCATATATTATTGTTTTAAGCCGTCTCATATAAATGTTATATGCTTAAACGATAAGTCCAAGGAATATGTAATTAGGAGAATGTAATTTAAACAAGTTAGATTTATGAGACCACTCTCTTTCGTATACATATCCTAAACGTTCCTGATCATAGGATTGCCAATTGGGCATTGACAGTCCGTTAAGATCAGTATGTGCTATGTCTTCTCTTAGTGAGAGTGACTGGTCTCGAGTCATTGGTGTAAATAACACCAAGACAAGTACGTAGGTGCTCAATAAGGAATGAGTTCACTGAACACGATCAACGAAGAGTTCTCATACTCATGTCACATGAGAACTCATGGTTGGGATAATGCAAAGTAGTACTTTGACCTGAGGCATCATAGTTGTCTTGTGGTTAGGTCCTTGATCTTTGATTATGTCAAAGTCACTCCATTCGCGGGTGTCCACGGCATAGTTGGGGTTAAGCCACTTAGCCATGGAGGCAAGTGAATGCGCAACAAGGGATCTCTAACCTTCAAACCGTTTGAGGTAGAATACTCTATGATATGATTAAGAATCTCTGGCCAGAGTATGAATGAGATTTAGGAAGTCGTTCCAAATCACATTCAAGGTAATCATATAAGTAAATGAATCACATTGGATAGTAGACATGAATAAACTATCAAACCAAACAATGTGGTCAAGAGTATTGTATTAGAGAAAGACCGTATTGCATTGTAATCCTAAACTGAATAGGTTCTTCTGATTAGCTTGGTGATAGGAGCATATTTATGCGCCTTAGTTAGCTAGTTCTTATGCATTTATGTTGTGTTTTCTTAGTTAAGTTAGTCTTTTAAGCTATTTTCATGTGTTTTCAGGTTTTAAGGACAAAGTAAGCAAAAAGATGCAAATTGGAGCATTTTGGAGCAAAATTGAGCTAGAATGGAGCTCATGCATGTGGAGCACAAAAAATGGACGAATTTGAAGGATTGAAGAAGCTAGGAATGTGTTTCAAAGTTAAAGAATTGAAGATGCAAAGTTTCCTAGTTGAAGTAGGAAAGTGCTTAATTGAAGATGAAATCCTAGTCAACAATGGATTCCTAGTTGAAGAATGATTCCTAGTTGAAGTTGGATTTCTAGAAGATTGAAGATTCCTACTCAAACAAGGTTTCTTATTCGAAGAAGGAAAGTTAAAAGCCAAAGAATCAGCTCAAGTGAAGAAACCTTATCCAAAACATTATCCAAACCTTATCCTATCCTATCTTATCCTAATCCTAATCCACCTATATTTCAACTGCGAGGGAGGATTCCTAACTATATTAGGGTGCTTAAAATCAGATTTCTAGAAGACCTAATCCTTTCCAACAAAGGTGGTGCCTAGAACCTTTCTAGAAGACCTTTGCCTTGCATTGCAATTCAGCCACTTTCCCTCCAATTCTTGCCGTGAGTTTTCACCCAATTCCCTTGGGATTTTGGTTTCTAGAAGCCCTTATCCTTTCCTAGTTTAATGCCGCACCTTATCCTCCCCATTCCTTTTGGATTTCTGATTTGTTTTCCTTCAAGGATTGTGTGTTATTTTCCTATGCAAATTAGGCCTTTAAATCCTTTTCCTTTGCTACCTAGGGGCTGTGATTTTCAGCCTATAAATACAACCCTTTGCCGCACCAATTAATCACCACCCTTTACCATATTTTCACTACACCATTCACCCAAACATCCCTCTTGTGCCGTGAGTTTTCAAAGGAGAAGGAAGGAGACTCTTGGAGCCGTGCATGCCATTCAAGGAGCTTAGATTGTTGGAGCGTTTCTAGGTGTTTTCTATCTTTATGTCAATGTTTAAATTTATTTATCTTTGTTTATTTGCGAACATGAGGAACTAATTTCTTTATAGTTAGAGGGGAATTCAAAGCCATGATCATATCTTTTATATGACTTGATTTCCTCCAGTTATGATTTCATAAATCGTGAATGTGGTTTACTTATCTATTTGATTGATAACATGTTTATGTATGTTTGATTGAGGGTCGACACTTAGTTTGCATGCATGAATTTGATGCTAGAGTATAAGGGAATTTCACCTAATCGTTATTAACTTATATTCATAAGTAGTAAAAGTCGCTAGTCACGATTGTGTTAAGTAAATCCTTGGCAAGAGTAACATGCGTATTCCATAGTTATGAATGCCTCGTCAATGCTTATGATTTCCATTGAACTTAATGATCTTTGATATGTGTCTCTATCATGCGTATTCCATAGTTAGGGTCCTTGATAAGAATAATTTGGTTGTAATGCGTATTCCATTCAATTCAATGAATCTAGGGAAATCTGAGAATTAATTGGTGCAATCTAGTTAATTTGGGGCATTGTCATTCATGGTTTGTTGAAAGAGTAACTGGAAATCGAGTCGTATGCATATGTTTCATGTGTGGAGAAGGAACCCTCTAACTAGCCTTTCACCATTCTATTTCATCAATTTCGTGAGTTTTTAAGTTTGTTTACAAAGTTTATGTTTTAAAAGTTCAATTTCGTCAAAACCAAACCCCTTGCTTTTAAGTCTTGTTTTTAGAGTCAAAACTTGTTTCCTTTAAGTCTTTTGAGTC